CTTCACCGTAGGGATGGTGCCAAGTTTCCTCCAGACGTGATGCTTGACATTCAGGCCAAAGAGTTCAATCTTGGTTTCATCAGACCAGAGAATCTTGTTTCTCATGGTCAGAGTCCTTTGTGTCTTTTGGCAAACTCCAAGCGGGCTGTGCCTTGTACTGAGGAGTGGCTTCCGTCTGGCCAATCTACCATAAAAGGCCTGATTGGTGGTGTGCTGCAGAGATGGTTGTCCTTCTGGAAGGTCCTCTTATCTCCACAGAGGAACTCTGGAGCTCTGTCAAAGTGACCATCAGGTTCTTGGTCACCTCCCTGACCAATGCCCTTCTCCCCCGATTGCTCAGTTTGGCCAAGCGGCCAGCTCTAGGAAGAGTCTTGGTGGTTCCAAACATCTTCCATTTAAGAATGATGGAGGCCACTGTGTTCTTAGGGACCTTCAATGCTGCAGACATCTTTTGGTACCCTTCCCCAGATCTGTGCCTCAACACAATCCTGTCTCGGAGCTCTACGGAGAATTCCTTCGACCTCATGGCTTGGTTTTTGCTCTGACATGCACTGTCAACTGTGGGACCTTATATAGACAGGTGTGTACCTTTCCAAATCATGTCCAATCGATTGAATTTCCCACAGGTGGACTCCAATCAAGTTGTAGAAACATCAAGGATGATCAATGGAAACAGGATGCACCTGAGCTCAATTTCGAGTCATCGCAAAGGGTCTGAATACTTATGCAAATAAGGTATTTCTGTTTTTTACTTGTAAATAATTTGCTAAAATATCTAAAAACTGTTTTCGCTTTGTCATTATGGGGTATTGTGTGTAGATTGATGAGGAACATTTTTTATTGAATCAATTTTAGAATAAGGCTGTAACGTAATTTTTTTGGGATCAGAATACTTTCCGAATGCACTGTATGGACCCAGAACTTCATTGAGCATCTGACCAATTAAGCGAGACATTAGTTCTGGGTTAACTGAGATTAGGCAGCGTCTAACCCACAGAATCCCTAAAGAATAATTGACAGCAGAGCAAATGTAGGCCTATATAAAAAACCCATCAGTGTTATACCATGCCTTCTAAAATAATATCTCTCCTCCTTGAGACTGTCCATTTTACATCCGTCATCTGTGGGAAACTGCAGATATAGCCTACCCTCTCTATAAAATGTATCTATGTTGATGTTTGGTGGGGCACTTTTGTTTCATAGTATGAACCCATTTACTTGCAAGGAGATAAAGTAGCTGGCACGGAGAGAGCTTTTAGAAGCACATCCACAGTATGGCTAGCAGAGCCTCATCTGTATCTATTGTAATCATGTCAAACACAGACCTTTCAAGTCCTGCTAGTTGTGAGGGAGTATGTAAGTGTTACGTCATACTCCAATTCCTCTCAGGTATATCAAATGCACTCAATCAAAACAAACAGGACTGGCAGGTTGTATGTTTCTGGATGCGTCTATTTATTACAGTCTGAGGAATCAGAAAACATACTGAGGGTGTAAGGGATTATTAACGGTTGGTGTTAATGATAATTATTTCATGGTTCGTTCGAGAGTTATGCTAACCTAACATATGGCTAAACTAAAAACACAGGCGTCGTCTAGGGTGAGGTGTGTACAGTCGTGGTCAAAAGTTGAGAATGATACAAGTATTGGTCTTCACAAAGTTTGCTGCTTCAGTGTTTTTAGATATTTTTCTCAGATGTTACTATGGTATACTGAAGTATAATTACAAGCATTCCATAAGTATCAAAGGCTTTTTTTTTACAATTACATTAAGTTTATGCAAAGAGTCAATATGTGCAGTGTTGACACTTATTTTTCAAGACCTCTGCAATCCGCCCTGGCATGCTGTCAATTAACTTCTGGGCCACATCCTGACTGATGGCAGCCCATTCTTGCATAATAAATGCTTGGAGTTTGTCAGAATGTGTGGGTTTTTGTTTGTCCACCCGCCTCTTGAGGATTGACCACAAGTTCTCAATGGGATTGAGGTCTGGGGAGTTTCCTGGCCATGGACCCAACATTTCCATGTTTTGTTCCCCGAGCCACTTAGTTATCACTTTTGCCTTATGGCAAGGTGCTCCATCATGCTGGAAAAGGCATTGTTCATCACCAAACTGTTCTTGGATGGTTGGGAGAAGTTGCTCTCGGAGGAAGTGTTGGTACCATTCTGTATTCATGGATGTGTTCTTAGGCAAAATTGTGATTGAGCCCACTCCCTTGGCTGAGAAGCAACCCCACACATGAATGGTCTCAGGATGCTTTACTGTTGGCATGACACAGGACTGATGGTAGCGCTCACTTTGTCTTCTCCGGACAAGCTTTTTTCCGGATGCCCCAAACAATCGGAAAGGGGATTCATCAGAGAAAATGACTTTACCCCAGTCCTCAGCAGTCCAATCCCTGTACCTTTTGCAGAATATCAGTCGGTCCCTGATGTTTTTCCTGGAGAGAAGTGGCTTCCTCGCTGCTCTTCTTGACACCAGGCCATACTCCAAAATTATTTGCCTCACTGTGCGTGCAGATGCACTCACACCTGCCTGCTGCCATTCCTGAGCAAGCTCTGCACTGGTGGTGCCCCGATCCCGCAGCTGAATCAACTTTAGGAGACTGTCCTGCCGCTTGCTGGACTTTCTTGGGCGCCCTGAAGCCTTCTTCACAACAATTGCACCTCTCTCCTTGAAGTTCTTGATGATCCGATAAATGGTTGATTTAGGTGCAATCTTACTAGCAGCAATATCCTTGCCTGTGAAGCCCTTTTTATGCAAAGCAATGATGACGGCACGTGTTTCCTTGCAGGTAACCATGGTTAACAGAGGAAGAACAATGATTTCAAGCACCACCCTCCTTTTAAAGCTTCCAGTCTGTTATTCTAACTCAAATCAGCATGACAGAGCGATCTCCAGTCTTGTCCTCGTCAACACTCTCACCTGTGTTAACGAGAGAATCACTGACATGATGTCAGCTGGTCCTTTTGTGGCAGGGCTGAAATGCAGTGGAAATGTTTTTTGGGGATTATGTTCATTTTCATGTCAAAGAAGGACTTTGCAATTAATTGCAATTCATCTGATCACTCTTCATAACATTCTGGAGTATATGCAAATTGCAATCATAAAAACTGAGGCAGTAGACTTTGTGAAAATTAATATTTGTTTCATTCTGAAAACTTTTGACCAGGACTGTAGTTCATGTCAGGTAAACGACTTATAAGCTTTCTGGAACTTTGGGCACCTGCGCTGAATGGCTGGAGTAGTTTCCCTATCTGTGTGTGGTCTGTTATCACCAAACAAGCCTTTTTCAAATGGCAACAGCTGCTATCCTTTGTTCAGATCATAAGAGCTGCTGCACAGCATGTAATTGTATTCTCCATTTCTATTAAGAAAAGTTGGGAATTTCTCTTGGATTATGCATTTAGCGTTTTAATGAATCTGCTGTTAAGAACAAATGGGGGTAATTAACGCTACAGTATTCATACTACTTTGTCAGTGTGTCTTTCTCTTCGCTCCCTGTCCAGTTCTCTCTTTCCATTTAACTGCATGCACCGCACCAGCCCATTGTAATGATGGGAGACCAGGCTGGCTACATCCTGATATGGTTAACAACTTCTCAACTAGGTCTTCTTTCATTTATGACAAATGGTCCGAAAAGGACTGAATAGGTGAAACCAGTTTGTTATGTGGAGTTTCTGTCACATTGCCTAAAGGTTTAACCGATCCAATCCTTTCACATTGTTTGGTTCAACGAGGACAGAAACAAATTAAGGGGTTTTGGAACATAATTTGATGTGTTTTCAGTGTCATCTCCAAGCAAGTAAAAAGTATTTAAAAAATAAATGTTACCTCCATTTTGTTCAAATCTACCAGGAATCGTCCGTTTCTCCTCTTCGCGTTCGTAATGAGGAAATGTGCATTTGGTCAGGCGCCACAGCTATAGAAATACACTTACCAAAGCAAACGTGAACAAATAAAAAGTAATGCTCTATTCATTCTACAAATAATAATCTACAGTTTAAGCAGAACATCAAAATAATTTCCAGATGGTAAAGCTTATCAACCTGGGTCACATTTGCAGGAGAACTCCACCAAAAAAACTAGAGGTATCAAAAATATTTTTCCCTGAAAAGACACTGCTCCATGTTCAGATTGTGACTAGAGAGATTCTCACACACCAGTTTATAGACTAAGGTCTTCAACCCTGGTCCTGAAGAGCTACTAGGTATGTAGGCTTTTGTTCCAGCCCTGAACACACACATTCAGTTCAGCTAATCATGGTCCAAACAGAAGACCATGATTATTTGATTAGTTGAGTCAGGTGTGATTACAGGTCTGGAACAAAAGCCTGCACCCTCCAGTACCTCTCCAGGAATAGAGTTAGAATCCCTTGATGTGTTCCGACTTCAGATGGCCCAAACTGAGAAGAACAGCAAAGGATTGTGGAGCAACATGTTGGGATTCAACATGAAATTATCAGGAATTGTATTATTGTTCTCCATTTATCTGGAAACATGCATCCTTCCAAAGACGTGGTGTTCTGCTCTACTTATCTGGTTGTTACAGTAACAGGACTGATTCGGAGGAGGAAATCTCAGCAACACATTACTTTTCATAGGCGTAACTTCAGGGTAACTACTAACTGTAAGGGTATAACTCATGTAATTACCTTGTAACAAAATCTAAGTACAGGCAGCTATAGTTCATATCATTGTTAATCAAGTTCTGAACCTAGTTTGAACATAGTTAATAGCTTGTTACAGGGTAACAACATAGGTTATTCCACTGGTAGTCCCTGTGCAGTCATTCTATTTCATTATCTGTCCAGAGAACCATTCCGAAAATACACACCAATTTCCACAGTTTGAACATGGAGCACAGTGTCAACCGTCCTAAAAAAAGCACAGCTTGTTTAGGTTTTGATTGAGTCCTCCTGTAAACGTGTAGGTATGGGAGCTGTTGGGTGTTACAGTGAGGGGAAGACAGAGCACACAGGGGGTGCAGTAGCACGACTTACTCAGCTTTCGCCCCCTGAATCAGGAGAGCGTTGACACAGTCCAGACTGCCTGCACGGGCAGCCTTATGGATGGGTGTCTCACCCACATAGTCCTGAGAAAGAGAGAGGGAGGTTATAGAGAAAGAGACGGAGAAGGAGAGAGAAGGAAATAAATGTGTTACACACTGTATTTACACAAACTGAAGCTCACATTGGTTTCTTGTGCTGCAATAATATGCAGCAGATTAGCCTCCCTCCCTCCCCTCTCTCATTTCCCTTAGAGCAGTGTCTGGTGAGGTCTGGCAGACACCAGGGTGAAGTTCTCCAGAAGCAGAGTGAACTCGTCACCCCAGCTGCACAGCAGGCCACACGGCCGTAGAGTATCACGCATTAGAGAAAAAGAGAGGGAGGAAGAGAGGGAAGGCGGTAGAGAGAGAGGGAGGGAGGAAGGGAGGTAGAAGGCTGTGGCAAGAGAGTGAGAGCATTTTTCAAAATAGATTCCTCCATGAGAGAGAAAGTGAGGGAGATGCTGAAAGAGTGGTAAAGAGAGATTGTGAGAGTGTTTTTCCAACAAATCCCTCCTCTTTCCATAACCACTGTTCTTCACACACAGAGAATGTAGGCCATTTGAAATGCTGTAGTGGTGACCCACCCTGCACCATATCCCTGGGTGGCTTTATTAAATCCATACAAGGGAGGGGTTAAAAGAGGTTGATGGGTTTAATGGAGGGGAAACTGTATGGCTATTTTTGAAATATGGGTTGAATTTTTTTATGTAAGTCATATTAGAGCTCTATTAGAAATAACAGTGACATGCTGCAGCATGCCAATAGGAGAGGTAGGAGTTATGCCATCATGACCTACTAATTCAGATTTCTCTGAGTGGTGCAGTGAAGCGTCAGATGGTCGGTGAAGTGTGTGCACACACAAGACAGGAGCGTAAACAAAAGAGCATGACAGAAGAACACACACACACACCAATGACATCAAGTCTAAATAAAAACCCTATTGGCTTTTCAAATGTATAGAAGCGTACGTGCGCACATACAGAACGACTGGTGGTTTTCTGTCAGTCATTAATCCAACAGCATGGAGATAAAAGCAGGCTGGCTGGGGCTCTTCACAAACACAGGGCTGAGGAGGTTTTATAGATGTAATAAGACCATAGCCACCAAACAGAATGGATATCTTGCAGTGCCTCTTTCCTCTTAACATACGCTCAATCTAAATGTGTAACAGGTACCAATTCAGATGGGTTGGCCCAAAGCCAGGATGATCCCTCTGATAGGATCAGTCTGAGCTCAGCCTCTCTCACACACACTGGCTGCTGTCACATTTTCACTACGTCTGTCCCCCCTCTCCTGCTGCGTGCGTGGGTGTGTGTTTTGGTAAGTGTATGCATCCATGTGCACTGTACCTGTCTGTTGATGTCGGCGCCAGCTTGCAGCAGCCACAGCAGGCATTCTGGGTGGCCCCCAAACGCAGCAATGTGAGTGGGTGTCTGAGCAAACCTTGTGGTCACCGCATTGACCCCACAGCCCACCTGAACCAGACCCATCACACACTCCAACTGAGAGGAGACAGAAGGGGAAAAAAGTATTTATTTATTACCAATACAGTGTCAAAGCCCCCTGCTATGTCTGTCCTGCCTTGAGGAAATCCACAGGCCTTCAAGCTAAACAGTATAGTGGAGCAATACAAAAGAAAAAGGCCTACAGTATCAGTATTTTCTGTAATCAAATACTAGGCTGGGGCGGTATCCAGATTGTCATACCTTCTTACTGACCTTGTGCTCTGGATAAGAGCGTCTGCTAAATGACTAAAATGTAAAATGTAAATGTAAATGCCATTCCTGGATATTTGGTAATACCGGCACTGAACACAAGGGGCGCTATTTTCAAGCACCACTGAGCCTTTGTAATCCGAAGGTTAGCAATGCTAACAACTATATGTCAAATCCCATAGAGAATGCTAACTAAATGATAACAAGGCATTGCTATTTTCAGAACAGACATCCCAGCTCATAAAGTCATTCAAGTAACTAAAAAATGCTACTCACAGTTTGCTGCATGGACAAAACAAATATTAGACAGCAAGGCTCTTGATCCAGGAGGCCATTCTCTGCAGTTACCGGCAAGCAAAGCTTGATTTTGGAAGAAGCTAACCACTTATCTAGATAGCTAACTAGCTATTAATTTAGAACACCAAATGCACAACTGCAGAGCATTTAGCACATTTTAGACCATTAACAGTTATAAGATATCTCAGCTGGCAAACATTTAGTTGTGAATTCCATACTGTAACTAGAGCACCTGGCTCGTGCTGCACAACAGTGAGTCACAAGGCTCCGGTCTCTTATTGTTGTGTGCTTGTAAACAAACACCACGTGAATGGGTACTACCGGTAAGCTTCAATATGAAAAATTATGTGACAGATGAAATGAAGAAGGCAATCTTCTTTATCTCCTAACATATTGCACAAGTTGACTGCAGGTATTTACTTTAAAAGTAGCTACAATATTCAAATGTATAAAAAAATGACATCTAAGAAATAGTTAACGGTATTGAAAAACCATCCGCTATTTCCAAATACCCCGGTATATGGCCCAAGCCTAAATCACACCCAGTTAAAACGCCACCAGGGCAATATAATAATGCATCAATCCAAATAACTATATTACATTTACATTTGTGTAATTTATCTTATCCAGAGCGACTTACAGAAGTGAGTGCATACATTTTCATACTGGTCCCCCGTGGGAATCGAACCCACAACCCTAGCATTGCAAGCGCCATGCTCTACCAACTGAGCCACATGGGACATACCACCTCACTTGGTGTGAAACCAACTCTATAAAGGGTGTAGGTTGGGTAGACCTAAACAATTTAATAAAACACTGAGCAAAGGCCACTAAATAATAAACAAATTCTTTATCCAAACTATTTGACACGTCATAAAATGTTGATTTCTGCAAGAGTGAACAGTGATTTAAGTGGCACTCCGCAATGAGGGGGGGGGGGGGGGATTTCCTTACCATAAGACAAGGGTGTAACCTGGAAGTTGGCCATGCTCCATATTGTGTGTAAATTGTGTTTGGGCATGTTCGTTTTTTATGAGCAACACAAATGAGACAACTATGCTTCTCACAACCACAAACTGCCTTGTGGTCAGTCATTGAGTCAGGCAGACCATGCCTCCGCTATTTGTAAAACCCTGCTGTGTCATCTAAACATCCATCCTTCCCATCAGGATACAGTAACTCAGGGTGACTAATACTAACTCAGCAGCACAAAAGAGAGTCAATGGCCGACTCGATTTTAGTATATGCCTGAGGCCGAGTTAGCATACTGTCACTAACCAGACACAGACAGGGAAATAGAGGGGGGAGAATGTGCTGTTCTCTGTGTGTGCTTAAAATAGGTTGTTCCAATTGATACGGTGTAGCTCTTGTACTTTTAGCTATCGTACTTTCACTTCTCTCTGAAATCGATCAACATCCAGTCAGTGATGAGGCCGATTTAAAACCATGGATTGAAATTGTTCCTCCTAGTCAAACAATCAGCTAGGCTGGACTCGAGCTCACCCCGTCCTTCAGTTGACTTGTTTACAATGTTTATGTATACACTTGTACATGGGAAGGAGTCCGGTGTGCTTATAAACTGCCTTTTGGCGCGTTACATGTTATTGGTTTTCCAACGCAACCAATAAACAATCGAGCCCGCCACACTGTAACCAGCTTATGATGGAGGCCAATCCAATCAGTCAGGCCATGACACATTCCGTTTCTGCTGAGCTGGAAGTGACAAATTATAGCACAAAATTATGTTTATTTTCAACAGTCCCAATGTAAAATGTTACACAATTTGACACATTCTGCCTTCTCCCAACAGTTTTCACGTTTAGAAACGTCAATAAGCTTGCAATATGGCTTTTCAAAGCATATGGCCCTTATTTTTCATCAGTGAGAAAGAATCCTTCAAATAAAACGACACACTTACTGTAGCAGTTTTGCACAGATCAAAGAAACTACACTTCGAGTTGCTAGATAGGTAATTAGTACAGGTCTTGTCTTCCATCTGTTTTCGGTAAACGAGCGCTGTAACATGGATATATGGCCGTGTGGGAACACTAACCCTATCAAGATGTATATCAATTTAACCTTTTATTATTATTTCTGGCTGATATGAATGATAAGGTCCTTATGCTTTCAAAACCGTACTGCAAGCGATGCATGTTAATGTTCAGACCGAGCCGCGTCAGGGAGTGACCTTAACAAAACTCCCCCCTACGGAAGACGGCTTCGTCCAATGATTTATGTGTAATGTAATGGAACTGAGAGTTATGATCAAGGGCTAGCTAGCTAACGTTAGCTAGCTACCTAAATATTTCTCATTCAGTCTGTCTTTTGAAATGGCAGCTGGAAACCTCGGCCAAAGATGGTTAGCAACTCTATGCCTCGGCCTTTTCATTTCTTAGTAAAAATATATATAAATATCCGATTACCTTTCCGAAATGAGCAGCCCAATGTATGGGTGTCCAGCCGTAGAAAGAGTCCTCCACGGCTAAGTCCGCAGGGTTTGAGGTGCACTGAAGAAGCGAGCACAACGCACCGATATCTCCATCCCTGCACGCCCGGTGGAGTGGGAAGCGAACGTTCAGAATCTCCTCACTTGAGAATCCCGTATCAATGCCCACCGACATTATCAAACGAATATAAAACACGATTTTAGCGAGAGAACAGTAAATGCAGTCGCCTGCTTCCAAATGTCGCCTGCTTCCAAATGTAGTTATTGTGGTAATGTTTCTTTGAGTGCCTTTTCGTGAAAGCACCGTCACCCTGCTTGCTTGCAACAATGACCACACCGAGACAGCGATGAGACTCGAGTTTCTTGTCCAACGCACTCAGGAATAAACTTGAGGCGACTTGCAAATTCAGGAATGGAGTTTTGTACGCATGACCCGGCACTAAATTCACATCTGATTCTCTGATACGTGTAACAGAAATACTGACTATCTCTGCCTGTAGCCTAGGCTATTATACCTGCAAAAACTAAAACAAACCCCGCCTGATCTACTCACAATTGGATGCATGGCTCTTTGCAATTAGATTGCACAAAAATATCGGCCTAAATAACTTTTTATTGCAACAATGACACATAAGATTGGGTAACATACTGTAGTCTACATTCACAAAATACAGCCAGCTCAGATAGTCTACTTACTCAGTATGACATTTTTGAAAAACAATGGGTTGTAGTAGCCTATATTCAGCTAAGGTAGGTCAAAACAACCACATATAACAGTCAGGCTATTTTGAATGTGATTTCAGTATGTGCATGGCTTATGCATAAATACGTGTAACACTTAATGCTAAGCAAAACTTTTCTCTGCACCCCATGACAAAAATGTTAGAATTGCAGGAAATTTGCTTTAAAATGCCCCCAAAAAAGTATCCATCCCATGGCAAAATGTATTGAATTGCAGAAAATAAGCTTTAAACCTTTTTAAATGTTCTCTCCACCAACAAGAGGAATGTGAACAGTTTGTCACAAACAGTGCTTGTGCCCATAGAAATAGACGTGGCGCGCACGCGCAGAGGGGGCGGGGCGCGGGATGTTCCCCAATGTTGGAAGGGGGGGGGCCTGAGTGAAAACGTTTGGGAACCCCTGGCCTAGTTTACTACCAAAGATACTGGTGACTAAATATACCCTCTTCTATCTGTGCTACTACTCAGTATTGTTGTGGATGAAGTAATGAGCTACTGTCTCTCCTCCATATCTGGGGTCGTATGCCACCCTGTGGTTGATGGTCTAATTGCAACATGTTTTCCTGAGCGCAGAACACAAGCACGAGAAAACAATGCTTGGAATTCTACTAAATATCAGAAATAGTTGGTGTCATTCGTTTGGCTGTGTGCATGAACATGATTTCAGCATGTTGGTACATCGCCTACTTTTGTGATATCAGACAGACTTTTTAGATATTAAAAAGTCAACGTATAGGTCATTTCTATCGTGTTGCATGATTGGAAAATTCTCGGAAATTGCTATAATTTACATTTACATTTGTCATTTAGCAGACGCTCTTAACCAGAGCGACTTCCAGTAGTGAGTGCATACATAAACGTCATGCATACAAGGCCAATATCTAGTAAAACAAAATTAATCGCTTTTCCACTGCTCTGTCCGCAACTGCATTCATAAACGCCATGAAACCCTGGTCGATTTGATGCGTTATTATCAGGAGCCAAAGTGTTTACCGTCAGCTGAAAACATTTGCACTGGAATGAGGTCCCCTCCACCGTCGTGCACATCTTATACTAAAATGGCAAGGAAGATACCCTGATCAAGAAGTCGGTTCACATTTACGTCATTTAGCAGACGCTCTTATCCAGAGTGACTTACGAATTGGTGCATTCACCTTATAGCCAGTGGGATAACCACTTTACAATGTTTTTTTTGGGGTGGGGTGGGGGTGGGGGTAGAAGGATTACTTTATCCTATCCCAGGTATTCCTTAAAGAGGTGGGGTTTCAAGTGTCTCCGGAAGGTGGTGAGTGACTCCGCTGTCCTGGCGTCGTGAGGGAGCTTGTTCCACGATTGGGGTGCCAGAGCAGCGAACAGTTTTGACTGGGCTGAGCGGGAACTGTGCTTCCGCAGAGGTAGGGGGGCCAGCAGGCCAGAGGTGGATGAACGCAATGCCCTCGTTTGGGTGTAGGGACTGATCAGAGCCTGAAGGTACGGAGGTGCCGTTCCCCTCACAGCTCCGTAGGCAAGCACCATGGTCTTGTAGCAGATGCGAGCTTCAACTGGAAGCCAGTGGAGTGTGCGGAGGAGCGGGGTGACGTGAGAGAACTTGGGAAGGTTGAACACCAGACGGGCTGCATCATTCTGGATGAGTTGTAGGGGTTTAATGGCACAGGCAGGGAGCCCAGCCAACAGCGAGTTGCAGTAATCCAGACGGGAGATGACAAGTGCCTGGATTAGGACCTGTGCCGCTTCCTGTGTAAGGCAGGGTCGTACTCTCCGAATGTTGTAGAGCATGAACCTACAGGATCGGGTCACCGCCTTGATGTTAGTGGAGAACAACAGGGTGTTGTCCAGGGTCACGCCAAGGCTCTTCGCACTCTGGGAGGAGGACACAACGGAGTTGTCAACCGTGATGGCGAGATCATGGAACGGGCAGTCCTTCCCCGGGAGGAAGAGCAGCTCCGTCTTGCCAAGGTTCAGCTTGAGGTGGTGATCCGTCATCCACACTGATATGTCTGCCAGACATGCAGAGATGCGATTCACCACCTGGTTATCAGAAGGGGGAAAGGAGAAGATTAGTTGTGTGTCGTCTGCGTAGCAATGATAGGAGAGGCCATGTGAGGATATGACAGAGCCAAGTGACTTGGTCTTTAGCGAGAATAGGAGAGGGCCTAGAACTGAGCCCTGGGGGACACCAGTGGTGAGAGCACGTGGTGCGGAGACAGCTTCTCGCCACGCCACTTGGTAGGAGCGACCGGTCAGGTAGGACGCAATCCAAGAGTGAGCCGCGCCGGAGATGCCCAGCTCGGAGAGGGTGGAGAGGAGGATCTGATGGTTCACAGTATCAAAGGCAGCAGACAGGTCTAGAGGGACAAGAGCAGAGGAGAGAGAGTTAGCTTTAGCAGTGCGGAGAGCCTCCGTGACACAGAGAAGAGCAGTCTCAGTTGAATGACCAGTCTTGAAACCTGACTGGTTTGGATCAAGAAGGTCATTCTGAGAGAGATAGCAAGAGAGTTGGCTAAAGACGGCACGCTCAAGAGTTTTGGAGAGAAAAGAAAGAAGGGATACTGGTCTGTAGTTGTTGACATCAGAGGGATCGAGTGTTGGTTTTTTGAGAAGGGGTGCAACTCTTGCTCTCTTGAAGACGGAAGGGACATAGCCAGCGTCAAGGATGAGTTGATGAGCGAGGTGAGGTAAGGGAGAAGGTCACCGGAGATGGTCTGGAGAAGAGAGGAGGGGATAGGGTCAAGCGGGCAGGTTGTTGGGCGGCCGGCCGTCACAAGTCGCAAGATTTTATCTGGAGAGAGAGGGGAGAAAGAAGTCAAAGCATAGGGTAGGGCAGTGTGAGCAGGACCAGCAGTGTCATTTGACTTAACAAACGAGGATCGGATGTCGTCAACCTTCTTTTCAAAATGGTTGAAGAAGTCATCCACAGAGAGGGAGGAGGGGGGGAGGGGGAGGAGGATTCAACAGGGAGGAGAAGGTGGCAAAGAGCTTCCTAGGGTTAGAGGCAGATGCTTGGAATTTAGAGTGGTAGAAAGTGGCTTTAGCAGCAGAAACAGATGAAGAAAATGTAGAGAGGAGGGAGGGAAAAGATGCCAGGTCCGCAGGGAGTCTAGTTTTCCTCCATTTCCGCTCGGCTGCCCGGAGTCCTGTTCTGTGAGCTCGCAATGAGTCATCAAGCCACGGAGCTGGAGGGGAGGACCGAGCCGGCCGGGAGGATAGGGGACATAGAGAGTCAAAGGATGCAGAAAGGGCGAGACTCAGCCACTGCACTCCAGCTGTGCTGACCACTTCGAATTTCCCAAATGTGGAAATCTCCAATGCGTCATTTCTGGTAGTAGGGGACTGCGTTCGAGCTCTCTCCTGATATAATTGTCAACGTAAATTAACCGTTAGTGAACGGGAACATTGGCGATTTTAGCATGTAAATCTTGGTCGGGCAAACTCAAAAAACAAAATGGGATTGCATGCCAGCAAAGCCACTACACAACACAACACAACACAACACAACACTAAACAATACATTAATTGCACTATAACGGTGACAAACGGTGCCCACAAACTGTTTGGGCCTACATAAAGCTGTCCCAACCGCAGTCCCAACACCTTACCACTGCTACACCTGGCTATCAGCGGAGCCTTGTCTGGCAGTAAAACAGTTAATTCAGCCTCATTTACTGCCTTTTAAAATGATGTACAAACTATGGCATAAGGGGACGACAAGCGGATAAGAGGCAATCCGTAATTTCGATTAAGACATTAATGAGCGAGCTAGGACGGACGTAGTCAATATAACTATTTGTTCAGCACTTTTGAAATGTACAGCGACATAATTCAGAACATGGGCCGTTCTTACAGTGTTCTCCCTGTACACCAAGTCAGAACCCTAGGATAAATAAAGGGGGCATATAAGCAGACAATGAAAGCTCTTACAATATTCGATGATTACATTTCTCTAAAACAGGTTATAGGCTACATGTGCCAAGCCAGAACAGTAGGCGAAATTAAGAGGATAAAATATACCAAATTATAAGGGTGAGGCACATGGGCTACTAACAGCTTACTACACAACATACACTTAGTATTACTTTCTTAGCTACAGTATACATATCTCCCTGGCATATTACATCATTTATGCTGCAGCATACAATACATTTTTGGACTCACCTTATTTGTGCTGTGCTCACTTAAACAGGAAGATGGTGCGGCAGTCCTTCATGGGTAAATTTTGTCATCAAACTTTGTCACCAAAGTCTGGCATTCTCTGGATTTATGGTGCTTTCAAGACAACTGGGAACTCTGAAAAAATAAGGTCGAATCATGATGACGGCAGTGATCATCAGTTCGTAGCTCTAGAAAGAGGTCCGAGTTCCCAATTTACAATTCCGAGTTGGATGACCGTTCAAAACGTATTTTCCCAATCAGAGCTAGTTTTTTCCCAAGTTCCCAG